TCTTCAGGCCAGTCAATGTGCTCTTTGGCAAATTGTAACCTCTTCAGCACGTCTTTTTTTCAACAGTGGGACTTTGCGGGGGCTTCTTGCAGATAGCTTGGCTTCACATAGGCGTCTTCTAATTGTAACAGTACTCACAGGTAACTTTAGACCTTCTTTGATCTTCCTGGAGCTGATTGTTGGCTGAGTCCTTGCCATTTTGGCTATTCTTCTATCCATTCGAATGGTAGTTTTTCGCTTTCTTCCACGTCTTTCAGGTTTTGGTTGCCATTTTAAAGCATTTGCGATCATTTTAGCTGAGCAGCCTATCATTTTCTGCACTTCTTTATATGTTTTCCCCTCTCCAATCAACTTTTTAATCAAGGTACGCTGTTCTTCTGAACAATGTCTGGAATGACCCATTTTCCTCAGAATTTCAGAGAGAAATGCACTGTAACCAGCATGTACAACATTTGCTGCCTTCTTCCTTTAAATAAGGGCAATAATTGCCACCTGTTTTTCAAAGAATGAATGACCTCACTAATAGAACTCCACACTGCTATTATTTTGAACATGCCCCTTTCAATTAGTGATTCAATTACACAGAATCAGCAGCATGCATGTCATGACTGTTGGGTCTGTTGGATTTCTATTACTCTACTACACCTGCTAGTAAATTATTTGACATGTACAAATATCATTTCTACCAAAAGCAGTGATTGATCAGGTTAGTGATGTCTGACTGCTATTATTTTGAGTACAACTGTACTTATTACCACAATAATTATTATTTGGACAATTTATTGTGTTTTATACATTGTGTTGTGTTTCAAGTGTTATATTGAACATAACTGGCAATGTGCCATTGTGTTACGCTACACATTTTATCATGTATTTTCACTTTTCTTCATGCAGATGAAACTGCATGGTACTTTTCCTTTGATGGAATTGCAAGTGCATTTTCACTGTCTCTATGTATGGATGCTGCACCAGTAGCATTCTCCTCTTCTGTATGCTGGGCATTTTTACACAATCTGTTTTCATTCTGTATGTATAGATGCTGCACAGTAGCACTTTTTTGTATGCTGGATGTAATTCCCAGGTCTACTCTTATTCTCTGTGTGTGCACAGAAGCACAGTAGCACTTCTCTTGTTCGTTTAACTAGAAATAATTCCTGCTAGGTTCTAGTTATTATCACAGTAATCTTTCAGACGATATGATTTAGTTGTGTTGTAGGTTTAGTTGTGTTTGTTGTGTTTTATATTGCATTTATGCATTTATGGGTGGTAGCATGTTGCATTTATGTATACAACAAATGGTATACATAATCTTTGTTATGTATTAGATATTACTTTTTTTATTACTTTTCTCCATGCAGATAAGCCCCATTGTATTCTTTACAGCATCAAGCAGTACAGTATGTGCATGTATGCATACTGCACAGTATCACTTCTCTAGTTTTATATGTTGGGTAGGTTACAATATCTGTTCCTATTCTGTATGTACGAACACTTCACATTACCACATCTCTTGTTCTGTAACTCTAATTACTGTATCAGTACATGTTCTAATTTTGTAAGTATGTACTGTATGAGGTACATAATATATTACCAATAATTGAGGCCTTCTTGATGTTCTCAGTATGGCCCATGATAATTTGTAAGTGTCACATGGTTTCCTATTGTATGAAAAGGTCGCTGAGTTACTGTATTTTAATATACTGTACAAACTTATTCCATGAAAACATTTTTTTGTTTCTTACGTTTTATGCCCAGTAAAAAAACAATTACATAATGTAATCACTATGTTATATTTGAATACGTTACTCCTGATGGTAGCTCTTTAACCTCCCTGGCAGTTTTCCCGAGTGTAGCTCGGGGTAAAGTTTCAGTACCACAAGCGGTAACCCCGAGCTACACTAGGGAATGCCCTGCAGCGCTGCTCCGGGATCTCTTCTGCACTTACCTTGTCCTGCGCTCCCGCGATGTCCCCCCTGCAGTGCCCCGGCAATGTCCTCCGGCCGATGCCGGCATCTGTCTTCTGGGCTCCGTTCCCTGCGACGTCGGGATGTATGGGGGACGGAACGGCGGGAATTTTAAAAATGTGAAAAAGTGACATTCATTAATACACTAAAATCACATAGTAAAACATTACTGTATCAAAGCATTTCACATACATTTTGTCCCTAGTGCTTTGTCCTGCGCCCTGCCTGCATTTTTACTGTTCTTTCTGCCTGGAAACTGAGAACTGTCCATGGCGTCCAAAAAGCGTCCCTTTAGGTCAAAAGCGGTTTTAGACCAGCTAGAGAACAGCGATAGTAAATTAGAACTACTTGCAGAATTGTGTGATAATGATTTGTGGGGAAATTCGTCATCAGACACTGGAAACGATTTTGTGACTTTGTTCAGTGATGTGCGAACTTGGCGCTCTATTTCAAATTTCAGTGTGTTTGGTTTGATTATATTATTGAATTAAATGTATTATTATATTATTATTTTTTATGATTATTTATTAAATTATAATTTATGATTTCGTGTTTCAAATTTTAACATACCCGGGATGTTTACTAGATCCTTGTTCGGACAGATTTCAGTGAGTTATTCCTAAAAATTACAGGCCTGCAATAAAAAAACTACATATTTCCATGCAAAAAAATTTACCGCTTTGAGCATAGCAATACTGACATAATCAGACCGCTAGGGAGGCTACACCATCAAAATGTTTTGAGTACCTGGTTTCACTCTCCCACCTTCCCCATGAAGGACCCAACCACCTGTAAAGAAAATAATATAATACACTGAGGTGGTCTTATGCATTTGAGCATCATATGTTGCTGATTGCCAACTCCTACTTTCTTTAAATCGCAAAGCTTTCTTTTCATCCAATAAAACATTGCTTCAGGTTGACTTATCTATGTTATCTGTGCTTTAAAAAGACCCTGTGGCATCCAAAATACATTTCAGAAAAAGGCATACCTGGAAGAAGACACTTTCCTGCAGCCTGCTCCAATGCATGTTGCTCTATTGCAGAGAACTGGTCCTCCAAAGTCCACTTTTCCTGGAGCTATGAGCTCTGTGGCCCCCCCTCAGCTTTCACTGGTTCCTCCCTAGAAACCAGTGAGAAGCAAGGAACCTCAGAGATCGACACTCCCATAAGCACTGATTTCCCAGTGGTACCAGTTGTTTGCAATGGAGCAACATTAAGTGTCGAGGACTGCAGGATAGGTAGGTATTCAGTTTCTTCTTTTCAGGTATATTTTTTGCTCAAACATTTTTTTTATGTCACAGGGTCTCTTTAAATGCCAGTTTACCATGTGTGGAGTCATCACAGTTTTATTTTACATAAATGGAATAACTTTCCTTTTAAATGGTCCTTTTACTTTAAGAACAGAAAATAGCTGCTGAAAGGTTTAAGTTGCAGGCATCAAGAGGTTGTCTGAACATATCAGCAGTTGATTTTAGAACTCCCGTGCTGCCAGAATGCTAGGGCACAGCATCATCTCTTCATGATGGTTCTGAGGCTTGCCCACCTGCTTCTGATTTTCACATACTTCAACCCCCAAGGTGGTTGGGAACCAGGGGCGGACTGACAACTCATGGGGCCCCCGGGCAATAGGGGATAATGGGGCCCCTGTGTCCTTTCTCAAACTCAAAAAAGCCTATGAAAAAGGTACCAGGGGCATGTCATGGGGCCCCCTAATGACCCCAGGCCCTCAGGCAGTGCCCGAGTTTCCAAATGGTCAGTCCGCCCCTGTTGGGAACAAAGCTAGGAACATTGGTGGGTAGACCTAATGATCCAAAGGGACATAAGGAGCTTGTGGCTGACCCAGACCCCTGTAACTCATATACAGTATATTTCTTTTGAAATGACTGACACACTTTTTATATAAAAAACATTTTCTCTTTTTTTTCATTTTTATTATATCAGCACTGCAAATTGCATGCAACCTTTTTACGTGCCCTTCCTGCCTACATGCATGAACTTCATAAACTGTTGCACATACGTGTTACATCTCTGAACTGTGGTCCACTGCTGGACCACAATTGGGAGACAGGGAAAAAATATTGTTCTCCTATAAAAGGAAGTGCCTGCAAAAGGACCTTCATGGCAGGATCACCTGGTATTAATTTAATAGAAGCTGCAGATTTCAAAGTATTAACTACTTAAGCTCCAGAAGATTTTACCTGCTTCCTGACCAGGCCATTTTTTGCTATACGATACTGCGCTACTTTAACTGACAGTTGCGTGGTCATGCAACGCTGCACCCAAATGAAATTTATATATTCTTTTCAAACAAATCGCGGTTTCTTTTGATGATATTTGATCACCACTGTGTTTTTTATTTTGTAATATATAAATAAAAAAAGACCATACACTTTGGTGAAAAAAACAATATTTTTTACTTTCTGCCATAAAACATCCAATAAAGAAATGTAAAAAAATCTAATTTCTTTATAAATGAAGGCCAAAATGTATTCTGCTACACATTTTTGGTTAAAATAATTCCAATGAGTGTATATTAATCGATTTGTGTAAAAGTTATACAGTCCACAAACTATGGGATATATACTGGAATTTATTTATTTTTATATACTAGTAATGGCAGCGATCAGCGACTTAGTGACTTATAGCGGGAATGTGATAGTGCAGCGCAGTCTGACACTGACTGACACATTGTGGGCACTGACTGATACTGACATCTCCAGTGACACTAATACAGCGATCAGTGCACTGTCACTGTCACTAACACTGTCACTGTACTAATTATTATTATTATACAGGATTTATATAGCGCCAACAGTTTGCTCAGCGCTTTACAATATTATACACTGGCAAGGAAGGGTTAACATCTAGGGGAAATCAAAGGGTTAATTGTATGCCTAACAAGTGTTAGGGCCGGTTCACACTATAGAAATGCAGTCCAGATGTGTTCCGGATGCGTTTCTGCATGTGCGTTTTTGATGTGTTTCGGTGCATTTTTGTATGCATTTTTGACATGTTCTGGTGCTTTCTTGATGCGTTCCAGTTAATTTTTCCCCCTCTCTTTTTCTTTAATTTAAATTGGGACATGTGCGGTCCAGTGCATTTTAGGTGTGTTTTTGGTGCATTCCAGTGCGTTCTGGGGCATTTTTGATGCATTTTAGTGTTCCACTACAGTTCTGTGCAGGAAAAATGCAGCCTGCTCTACTTTTTTTTCTGCATCTGGAACGCACTGGAACTGCAAGCACTGATGTTAACTATGAGATTGACAACCATATAACCTACTTTCTGTGTGTTTTGGATGCGGACAAAAAGCAACTGGAACCTATGTGGTGTGAACTGGCCCTTAATGTGTTTACTGTGTGCTGCTTTGTACTACAGATTGATTTCTTTCTTTTCCCAGGTTAGCAGGGAGAAGAAACAAAGCTATCTCTCCTTCTGTTTAGAGATTTGCATTGTTTACCAACACAGGCCTCTAGGCTGTGATTTGTCACAGCCAATCAGCAGGTCCCGGCCATGAATGATTGGACTAATATAAGTATGCATATTCCATGCTTATTGGATTTTCATGGAAGCTGGAAATCACTGTAGTAGACTGCTACTACAGTGATCACTGCAATCTTCTGACTTTGGTACCCAGTGCCTAACCCACTGCTTATCACTGCCCACCTCTCCACTTTATCCATTCAGAGAATGCTCTGCATTCATTGAGAAATGTGTGGAATTCTGGGAATGGTGCCAGTTATGAATGGTCGACCCCCTTTGTTCATTATGTAGCAGGGCAGGCGCTCAGCTTGGGACCCAGAAAACAGCAGCAATCACTGTGTTAGGATAGACTACTACAGTGATATGGCATATGCATACTTTTATTTGTCCAAACTGGAACAATGTAACTGTGCAAAACAATCCATACCTGAAATTTAGTGTTAAAGTAACATCATTTGTAAACTCAAACAGACTGACTGGACCCTTTTGTAATAGGTGCATCAGAAAAGCAAGCCTTGGAAGTAAAGTACTGAGCTCTGGCCAGTGGAGTGCCTAAAAGACCTAAAAGCCATTTGGTGGTTTACATTTCAGCATTTAAACCTGAAATAACATTTGGGTGTAATGACCTTTTAAAACATAAGGTATTGAAGGGATGATTTTCGAAATACGCATGTTTAAACACTCTAGTGCAGTGGTTCTCAACCTGTGGATCGCGACCCCTTTGGGGGTCGAACGACCCTTTCACAGGGGTCCCCTAAGACCATCAGAAAACACATATTTCCGATGTGTAAAGAGCAGCTACTGTGTAGAAAGCAGCTGCTGTTTTGAAAGCAGCTACTCTGTTAAAAGCAGCTACTGTGTTGAAAGCAGCAGTATTGGAGGTAAAAAGACACTCATGAATTATAATTACTGGGTAAATAATTTTATGGTTGGGGGTCACCACAACATGAGGAACTGTATTAAAGCGTCACGGCATTAGGAAGGTTGAGAACCACTGCTCTAGTGGGTGGCCACTTTAAATTCCCCAGATTTCTCTTTTGTGTCTCCCTGATCCATTTTGGCTAGGTGAAATTAACACATTCTAGAGTGAAAACTTAATTAGTAATTCAGCCTTTGTGTATTATGTGCTAGGCATATTAGAATTATTGGTGTTTCTTCAGTGGTGATTACTATGAATAGTCATGGATTAATTGCTTACTCATAGAGCATAGTTTACAGTGGAAGCACTCTTTATTACTTTGATGTTAACCCTTGCACAGCCCTTGACCTTGCAGTATCTTCTCCCTCTTGCATATATATATATAGTTATTAGGACTGATTAGGCTTGTACAGCTGTATTACACTTCAAGGCATTCAATTACTGGTGTATAGTAGAACACTTTAAATACAATTTACTTTTCCCATTCATGCTGCTATATCATCAGCTGTGGCGTCAGGAGCTCTTGACTCTGCTCTACTTTGATAGTCAAGGTACTAGCTCATTGTCGTAAATCTCACACTGTTTTTACCATTCTTTTTTATATTTAACCTGGACAGTCTTGGTAGTAATGTTAACTATTTGTAACTGTTGCATAACTATATTTGCAATATACAATATGGTATCCGAGCTGACCCAACAACTCCACATTCTGTTATTTAAAAGGCATGCTTATTTTAGATGCCATAAATGTTTTCTGTTTTGTTGCAGCTGTTGTATTACACTTATATTGCATTTTGTTTTAAAGACCAATTCTGGGCACCCACAATCAGAGAACACCCCCTACTCCCTTGAGGTCCTTCTGACAGTATGTTATTTTATTTTCTACCGCTTGTTCTAATGTCTTCAGGTTGGTGCTCTTCCTCTTCAATGTTTTGCTGGTGGAGAGCAGTCCTGGATGATGCAGAAGCAGCAATGATGTGATGACATTAACACTGATTTCTGCATCAATTCTGCGTAGTATAGGGTTCCATGCTCAGGGGTAAGCCATGATGCCCTGCACACATGGCTTTTCCTCTTCTGGGTCAAGTGATGCTGGGCATCTTGTGGGAAAAATTTGTGCTGAAGTCAGCTCTGGGCGTATTGAAAACACTTGTTGGGTATTTTAAACTGAGCCTGGAGTTGAAATGCTGCCATTGCTTATTTTTCTGAAAATGTTAGCTGACTGTCCTGATGACCCAATAGGTTTAGTACTGTCACAAACCTGGAACAAATTAAAAGTTCTGAGTTCGTTTTTGACTTTTTAGAGCTACATACAGTACATGATCCATGTAAGTTCCTCTGAAGATATTGAAGATTGAGTCAAACAGCTATGTTTTCAGTCTTCTTGGAATAGATATCAAAAAGAGTGACAGATGGGATAAAATACCTTTCCTGGAAAAAAAGTCTGTCGCAGTTACCTCTTAGTGCTGGTCACATATATGAAGGCCTGTCTGCTAAAGTAGAGGATCAAAGTTCTAACTGGCTGATTTTTCTCACAGACCCTTCCACATGTGGCTATCAAAAACCCCCAGCTCTTTTATTATTTAGATTTATGTGGGCATTTGAATATAGATCTTCACTAGTGCATTTCTCTGATGTTAGCTCTTACGCTAGGTTCACATATGTGCGGGTGGTGCGGCTGCAGATCCGCAAAAAAATCCGTGCAGCCACACCACCCACACAGAGGAATGCGGACCCGCAGGCGGGTGCCATTAGTTCTAATGGCACACCGCCCGCACTGGAAAACACAACCTTACTGGGAACCGAGGATTTTCAGAAGTGCAGAGACTTCTTCCTTGCGTGTCACGGGGCACGGGAGTCCATTCAAATGAATGGGCTCTCGTGCCCGCTCAACAAGTGGCCCGCATGGCTGCATATATGTGAACCAAGGGTAAAATTAATACAGCAATAAAACCTAATAATGTATTCTAATCCATCTCCAGTTTATGAAAAACTAAAAAAAAGTTTTGCCTTTAGTTATACTTTAACTATGTATTTTAATAGTATACTGATAGATTAACAGTATAGACCAGCGTTTTTCAACCACTGTGCCGCGGCACACTAGTGTGCCGTGAGATATTGTCTGGTGTGCCGTGGGAAAAATTCCAATTTCATCTGTAACATGTGGCTTCGGCTCACAAATAGACCAATCATTAGAATCTAATGATTCAGTGGTCGGCAAGCCGCGGCTCGCGAGCCACATGCGGCTCTTTACCCAGTCTAATGCGGCTCTTCTGTGTGCCGGGCGCCTGCTCCCCTCCCTCCTCTCGGTCGGCCGCTCCCCTGCCTCCTCTCGGTTGGCAGCCCCAAAAGTCCGCGCGGACCTTTTAATCCGGCTTGCGGATGTGGCTGTCAGGATGTGTGTAGGCGGGGCAGCGTGCCGAACGTGAGGGGAGGGGAGCTAGGCTCCTCTCACAGTCCGCCCTGAAGACCCGAACGGCGCGGGAAGACAGCGAGAGGAACGCAAAAGGTAAGTGAATTGACACGGGGGACTTGGCTTACTAGAAGGGGGGGGGGGAATAGTACTGTGGGGGATGAAATACTATATGAGGGATGAATTACTATATGAGGGATGAAATACTATATGGGGGGATGAAATACTATATGGGGGGATGAAATACTATATGAGGGATGAATTACTATATGGGGGGATGAAATACTATATGAGGGATGAATTACTATATGAGGGATGAAATACTATATGAGGGATGAAATACTATATGGGGGGATGAAATACTATATGAGGGATGAAATACTATATGGGGGGATGAAATACTATATGAGGGATGAAATACTATATGAGGGATGAATTACTATATGGGGGATGAAATACTATATGAGGGATGAAATACTATATGGGGGATGAAATACTATATGGGGGATGAAATACTATACGGGGGATGAAATACTATACGGGGGATGAAATACTATACGAGGGATGAAATACTATACGGGGGATGAATTGCTATGGGGGATGAATTACTATATGGGGGATGAATTACTATGGGGGATGAATTACTATATGGAGGATGAATTACTATATGGGGGATGAATTACTATATGGGGGATGAATTACTATGGGGGATGAATTACTATGGGGGATGAATTACACTATGGGGGATGAATTACACTATGGGGGATGAATTACTATATGGGGGATGAATTACTATGGGGGATGAATTACTATATGGGGGATGAATTACTATATGGGGGATTAATTACTATGGGGGATGAATTACTATATGGGGGATTAATTACTATGGGGGATGAATTACTATGGGGGATGAATTACTATATGGGGGATTAATTACTATGGGGGATGAATTACTATGGGGGATGAATTACTATATGGAGGATGAATTACTATGGGGGATGAATTACTATATGGGGGATTAATTACTATGGGGGATGAATTACTATATGGGGGATTAATTACTATGCTTACTATGGGGGAATATTACTATACTTACTATGGATGACACATACACATCATTCATCTACTCTTGGTCCGGCCCCCGGGTCCAATTATAAAATACTTTATTATTTCATAATAAAGTAATTATAAAATAATTTCTTTGTGTTTGATTCCTATTCAAGAGAATTACTTTATATATAGTCAATATAGGCACAGAGGTAAATTTTTTTAACATTTTCTAATGGTGGTGTGCCTCGTGATTTTTTTCATGAAAAAAGTGTGCCTTTGCACAAAAAAGGTTGAAAAACACTGGTATAGACTATAAACAGTATAAGATGCTTTGGTTTTGGATAGCAGTTTTTCTAGTGATGTGATATCATGATTTAGAGCATGATGCATACATGTTAGTTCTCTTCCTTTATACACTACATTTTCATTAGACCTAGCTATGATGATGTTACAAGCATTTCATCATGTGACAGCACCTTGATGCAACCTGATTTCTGT